TTTAAAAAGACAAGTTATTAAAAAATAAAGCAGAAATTCTGGCAATGAAAAATGCAATGGATGAAACAAACAAACAAAAAAATGCAACAGACTATGTCAACAAAAGAACTGATCACACAGAAGAAAAAATCCGTGAATCTAAAGACAGATTATTTGAAAATACACAGTCAAAAACGAAGAAGAAAAAAGAATGAAAAGAATGTAAAAATATGGAATTTAAAAGATGGCATGAAAGAAGCAAATCTTTGAGTTATAGGAGTTATAGAAGGAGAAGAGAGAGACAAAGGAGTAGAAAGTGTATTTAAAGAAATAACAATAAAAAACTTTCCGAATCTGGAGAAAGATATAAATATCCAGGAACCAGAAGGTCAAAAGTCTCTAATCAGATTCAATCCAAATAAGGCTACACCAAGACATATTATAATTAAACTGTCAAAAATCAAAAACAAGGAGAGGGCCATTACAGCAGAAAGAGAAAAGCAAATCACAATAAGAGAGTCTCCAAAAGGCTAACAGCAGATTTCTCAGGAGAAACCTTACAGGCCAGGACAAAATGAAAAAATAACATGATTTGGACATCTGTCCGTGCCAAATCTCATGTTGAAATGTAATCCCCAGTGTTGGAGGTGGGAGAATGCTAAATCACGGGAGCAGATGCCTCATGGCTTGATGCCGTCCTTGCGATAATGAGTTCTTGCGAGACTTGGTTGTTTATACATGTGTGGCACCTCCCCTCACACTCTCTCCTTTGCTCCTGCTCTCACCATGCGATACATCTACTCTCTTCGCCTTCCACCATGACTGTAAGCTTCCTGAGGCTTTATTAGAAGCTGAGCAGAATCCTGGCACCATGCTTCCCATACAGCATGTAGCACTATGAGCCAATTAAACCTCTATTCTCTATAAATCACCCAGCCTCAGGTATTTCTTTATAGCAATGCAAGAAAGGCCTAACACAAATCATATATTCAAAGTGCTGAAGGAACAAAAAACAAAACTGCCAACTAAAAATACAGTACTTGGCAAAGCTGTCCTTCAGAAATGAAAGTGAGATAAGGACTTTCACAGACAAATAAAAGCTGAGGGGGTTCTTCACCACCAGACTTGTCTTACAAGAAATGCTACAGGGAGTTTTTCAAACTGAAAGAAAAGGACACTAGTTAGTAACATGAAAACATGTGAAAATATAAAAATTAACTGGTAAAAGTAACTACACAGTCAAACTGAGAAAACTCTAAAACTGTAATGGTGGTGTGTAAGCCACTTATATATTTGGCTTACACAAAACTATTAAAGACGAAACTAATAAATATAACAAGAGCTTCAATAATTTAAGGGATATATAATATGAGGTAAATTGTGGTATCAAAAACATAAAATGTGGCAGAGGAGTAGCGTAAAAGTGTAGAGTTACTTTATGTGGTCATAGTTAAGTAGTTTTCAGCTTAAAATATCCATTATAGCCAGGCGCGGTGGCTCAAGCCTGTAATCCCAGCACTTTGGGAGGCCGAGACGGGTGGATCACGAGGTCAGGAGATCGAGACCATCCTGACTAACACAGGGAAACCCCGTCTCTACTAAAAAATACCAAAAAAAAAAAACTAGCAGGGCGAGGTGGCGGATGCCTGTAGTCCCAGCTACTCAGGAGGCTGAGGCAGGAGAGTGGTGTAAACCCGGGAGGAGGAGCTTGCAGTAAGCTGATCTCTGGCCACTGCACTCCAGCCCTAGCGACAGAGTGAGACTCCGTCTCAAAAAAAAAAAAAATCCGTTATAATTGTTTTACATAAGCCTTATGATAACCACAAATCAAAAACATACACTAAATACAAAAAGATTAAGGAATCCAAGCTACCACTAGAGAAATGCTAAAGGGAGCTCTTCAAACTGAAAGGAAAGGATACCAATTAGTAATTAGGTATTCAAGTAGGATACCAATAATTTAATTAGAAGGAAGACAGGAAGAAAGAAAAAAGGAATATAGATTTGCAAAACAACTAGAAAACAATTAACAAAAAAAGGCAGCAGTAAGTCTTTACCTATCAACAATTACCTTGACTATCAATGGACTAATTCTCAAGTGAAAGAAACAGTGGTTGAATGAATAAACAAACAAGATCTAACTACATGTTACCTACAAGAAATTTACTTCACCTGTAAAGACACACAGGAAAAGGAAAAGGAGAGAAAAAGATATTTCACGCAAAGAGAAAACAAGAGAGTGGATGTAACTGTACCAGATAAAATAACCATTTGTAAAAAACTGTAAAATGAAACAAAAAAGGTCATTACAAAATGGTAAAGAGAACAATTCATTATGAAGATATAACAACTGTAAATATATATGCACCTAACATCAGAGCACCTAAATAATAAAGCAAATATTAACTGATATGAAGAGAGACACAGATTGCAGTATAAAAAGAGTAGGAGTGGCTGGGCACGGTGGCTCACACCTGTAATCCCAGCACTTTCAGAGGCCAAGGGATGCGGATCACTTGAGGTCAGGAGTTCAAGACCACCCTGGCCAACATGGTGAAACCCCACCTCTAACAAAAATACAAAAAAAAATTAGCTAGGCATGGTGGCACACACCTGTAGTCCCAGCAACTCGAGAGGCTGAGGCAGGAGAATCACTTGAATCTGGGAGATGGAGGTTGCAGTAAGCCAAGATTGCACCACTGCACTCCAGCCTTGGTGACACAGCGAGACTCTGTCTCAAAAAATAAAAGAGTAGGGAATTTCAGTACCCCACTTTCAACAATGAAAAGATTATTGGAAATAAAACACTGGATGTGAACTAATGGATTTAACAGATACATACAGAATATTTCACTTAGCAGCAGAGTACACATCCTCTTCAAGCGCACATGGAACATTCGATAAATCACAATAGGTCACAAAACAAGTCTTAACAAATACAAGGATGAAATCATATCAAGCACGTTTTCCCTACCACAATTATATAAAACTAGAAATTAGTAACAGGAGAAATTTCAGAAAATTCACAAATATTTAGAAATTAAACAACATTCTCCTAAAGAACCAGCGGGTCAAGAAAGAATTTTTTTAATTAAAAATATCTTGAAACTAATTAAAATGAAGACACAACATACCAAAACTTACAAGATTCAGCAAAAGCAGTTCTAAGAGCAAAGTTTACAGCAATAATCACTTATATCAAAAAAGAAAGATACCAAGTAAACAACTTAAGGTTACATCTCAAGGAACTAGAAAACTAAGAACAAACTAAGCTCAAAATTAAAGAAAAGAAGGAAACAAAGAGCAGAGCAGAAATAAATGAAGTAGAGACTAGAAAAACAATAGAAAAGATCGACAAAACAAAAAGATGTTATTTTGAAAATACAAAAAAATTGAGAAACCTTTAGCTAGACTGAAAAAGAGACAAGACTCAAGTAAATAAAATCAGAAATGAAAGAGGACACTTTACAACTGATACAACATAAATACAAAGGATCATAAGAGACTATTAGGAATAATTATATTCCAACAAATTGGACAACCTAGAAGAAGTGGATACATACCTACATACAGCCTACCAAGATTAAACCACAAAGAAACAGAAAATCTGAACAGATCAGTAATAAGTAAGGGGATTAAATTAGCAATAAAAAGTCTTCCATCAAAGAAAAACCCAGGACCTGATGACTTCACTGTTGAATTCTGTCAAACATTTAAAGAACTAATACCTAGCTTTCTGAAACTCTTCCAAAAAATTGAAGAGGAGGGAAAATTTCCAAACTCATTTTATGAGGCTAGCATTACCCAATACAAAAGCCAGGTAAGGATACTACAAGAAAAAAAATTACAGGTCAATATCCCTGATGCACATAGATGCAAAAGTCTTTAACAAAATACTAACATACTGATTTCAACAACATATTAAAAGTAATCAATTCGCCAGGTGTGGTGGCTCACACTTGTAATCCCAACACTTTGGGAGGCCGAGGCGGGCGGATCGTGAGGTCAGGAGATCGAGACCATCCTGGCTAGTATGGTGAAACCCCATCTCTGCTAAAAAATACAAAAAAGCGGGCGGATCGTGAGGTCAGGAGATCGAGACCATCCTGGCTAGTATGGTGAAACCCCATCTCTGCTAAAAAATACAAAAAAGCGGGCGGATCGTGAGGTCAGGAGATCGAGACCATCCTGGCTAGTATGGTGAAACCCCATCTCTGCTAAAAAATACAAAAAAGTAGCCGGGCGTCGTGGTGGTCGCCTGTAGTCCCAGCTGCTCAGGAGGCTGAGGCAGGAGAGTGGTGTAAACCTGGGAGGCAGAGCTTGCAATGAGTCAAGATTGCGCCACTGGACTCCAGCTTGGGCAACAGAGCGAGACTCCGTCTCAAAAAAGAAACAAAAACAAAAACAAAAAACAAAACAATAACAACAATAAAATACAAATCATCAATTCGCCATAATCAAGGGGGATTTATTCAGGGATGCAAACATGGCTTAAAATATGCAAATCAGTAAATGTGATATACCACATTAACAGAACAAAGGACAAAAATCATGACCATCTCTACAGATACAGAAAAAAAATTTAACAAAATTAAACATCTTTTCATAATAAAAGCCCAACAACTAGGTATAGAAGGAATGTACCTCAACATAAAAATGGTCATACACAAGCCTATAGCTAATACTATATTGAATGGTGAAAAGCTGAGAGCTTTTCCAAGATCAAGAACAACACAAGGATGCCCACTCTTCAACACTTCCATTCAACATAGTACTAAAGTCCTAGCTAGAGTAATTAAATTAGGTAAGAGAAAGAAATAGAAGGCATCAAAATTGGAAAGATTTTAAATAGCTTGACTTAGCCATTCCACAATGTATACATATATCAAAACATCATGTTGTACAACATATAATTGTACTTGTCAATTTTTAAGAAAGAAAAAAATAGTTACCTTAATGCTATGCAAGTTAAATTGCAATTTTTTCAAATTAATATTAAGAAGTTATACAAAGGTTCTTACCTGCTTGAAATTCGTAACTGCTTTAATAACGGGAGAAGCTGTTATCAAGAGAATATCTTCTGATGGAAACTGAGTAGCCAACTTATTTTTAAAAAGAGAGAAAAAAAATTAGGACGAATTAAGTACTGGCATATATGGTTTGGGGTTGAGGATGATGCAACTTTAATAATGTAATTAATCTAGAAAATTAAAAACTCACTGCTTCTCATCTAAAGGTCTCCATTATCTCCTGTCATGTCCTTATCTACAGGGCAATGGTAAATAATGGTAAACTCTGATACTGATAAAATAATATATTTACAGCAAACACTAACAAAGAACTGCTGAACAAGAAAAGTGATATAAAGAAGTATCCTTTATGGCCAGGCACGGTGGCTCACCCTGTAATCCCAGCACTTTGGGAGGCCAAGGTGGGCGGATCACGAGGTCAGGAGATCGAGACCATCCTGGTTAACACAGTGAAACCCCGTCTCTACTAAAAAAATATAAAAAATTAGCCAGGCGTGGTAGCGGACGCCTGTAGTCCCAGCTACTCGGGAGGCTGAGGCAGGAGAATGGCGTAAACCCGGGAGGCGGAGCTTGCAGTGAGCCGAGATCACGCCACTGCACTCCAGCCTGGGCAACACAGCAAGACTCTCCGTCTCAAAAAAAAAGAAAAAAAAAAAGAAGTATCCTTTATTTACTTCAACTATTTTGTATACCAATTTAGAGTTATAATGCAGAGAATTAGAATAAACTATTTTCCTAACTAACAGTTAAACCAACTTATATTTATCTTAAAATAATATTTCATTTGTCTTCAATGGGATGAAATCAAAGCAAACCCTCAATATTAAACACTTAGAATATTGGTCTGACTTTCCCCAATGCTTCAGCACTCCTATTCTGCCTCTTCCAGTCAGTACATATTGTGGGATGATAAAGCCATTTTAACAATAGCTTCAACAAAATTTAGAGGTATAACTTGTTAATGTTTCATTATTTTCCTTTAGCTATAATCTCTTTCTTCACTCTGTGCCTGAAAGCATTTTCTTATCTCAAAGTCTGGTTCCTCCACACCACCCCCCTCAATAATCTGGCTTCTATTCCTACTACATCACTAAAACAGCATGTTTGAGGTATCTATGAATCCTTAAAATCCAAGGGATTATTTCTTTTCTTTTCTTTTCTTGTTTTTAATGGAGACGGGATCTTGCCATGTTGCCCGGCCTGGCTTCAAACTCCTGGCCTCATGCAATCCTCTCACCTTGGTCTCCCAAAGTTCTGAAATTACAACTGTGAGCTATCGTGCCCAACACCCATGGGATTCTTCTTAGTCTCATTCTATTTGAACTTTCTATATTTGGCAATATTATTACTCTCTCCATCTTTCTTTCCTTCGTATATTCTGTAATTTATCTCCCTGTTTCCATTGCTAGATGAGGTCCTCGAAACTTCTTTATACTACTCAAATCACCTTCAAATTGGCTCCCCAGTTTCACGTATAAACCAGCTGCCTCTGCCACAAATACATTGTAACTAATCATCTTTCAAACCTTTTCACACGATCAAGTTACTCCACCGCTCAAAAACATCTGACTACTTGTAAATTCTTCTTAAGTTCTTAGCATGATTTGTAAGATTCCTTATGATCTATGCTTTAAGCTTTACTGCTCGCTGATGATCCATGCTTTTCCACTGGAGATGACATTCTTTTCTTGAATACTTGAACTTTCACTCATTCTCTCAAAATGAGATTTTAAAAATACCTCCTTCGATTAAAAAAAATTCCTCTTCCCTAATTCACTCCCTACCTACTCCACAGGCACCCCTAAGATAACCGTTGATATCTCTTGCATAGACATACAACATTGTCTCTTCCACTAGGCTGTGGGTCCCTAGTATGGTATACCATGCTGTTCACGGTTGAACACTCAGCCCTTAAATACGGTGCCTGCATCATATATGCTTACTTAGTGAATACATGAAAAATACGCATCCAATAATGAAAACACTTCAGTTTCTTGTACTATTTCTTATGACTTCAGCGATTGCTCATGTTTATATCAACAAAATAATCTAGAACTTTTTGGAATACACACATGTATATGAATATATACGGTCTGGCTATTCAGTATCAACAGGAAAGCATGCCCTACAGGCACATAATCCTTCCTGATTGTTTTATAAAACATTACTAGAAATGAAAGTATCTTCTATCGTGGGAGTTCGAAGTATAGAAAACTTACGTATGGGATTCTTTATTAATTAGTTAAGGTGCACTAAAGACTTGGCAACTATCTGGAAACTAAACTCAGTCACCTATGACAATTAACAAAGGGGGCTGAGGGCCGGGCGCTGTGGCTCAGGCCTGCACTTTGTTAGGCGGAAGCAGGCAGACTGCTTGAGCCCAGGAGTTCGAGACCAGCCTGGCCAACATGGTGAAAACTCTTCTCTACTAAAAATACAAACATTAGCCGGACGTGGTGGCGGGCGCCTGTAATCCCAGCTACTTGCGAGGCTGACGCAAGAGAAGAATCGCTTGAACCCGGGAGGCAAAGGTTGCATTAAGCCAAGATCGCACCACTGCACTCCAGGCTGGGCGACAGAGTAAGACTCCGTCTCAAATAAAAAGAAAAAAAAAAAAAGACGCCTGAATTTTTTGTGTAAATACGAAGTCCTCATGTCTGCTCTGATATTACAAGGATCTGAGCACAGATCTGCCAGCTTTGGTTTCTCGGCAATAATTTGCCTCCCACTCCTCCCTGCGCCTGAGAGAAAGCTAGTGAGGCCATACGAGGACCACCAAGCAGTTTCTAAAATCTGGGAGCAATAAGTGCGAAAAGCGCGCAGCAAAAGAGGAACCCGGAAGAAGAAAAAGGGAGGGGGTAGGAGGAAAGCCTTCAGCGCTACCGGCTTTGGGGTAGGGGAAAGAGGCGGAACCGCCTGAGCACCGCCCTACCTGCTCCGCACAAGTGACGCCCGCGATGCCGCCGCCGACCACCACGAATTTCCCTGCATTCGCGGGAGGGCGCGCTGCCTCCATGCTGCCGGACTCCCAGTGGTTTACTGAATATCGCGGCGGAGCAGCTGGACTTTGGACTCCAGGAGAGGAAGCAGCCAAGAAGCGGTCACTTCCGGTGCCTTATCCACGGAATCCGACCTACGGGTGCTCGGGAGCTCACACTTAGTCTTCTCGAGTGCCTGCTGCCGGCTGCGTTTCGAAGCGACGAATTGTCTCGTGATTTTCAGAGCTTTGCGTTAGTATTACTACACCTGAATGTAGTTATTCCATAAAAATTTGACAAAGAGAAGACCAAAAAATAAAAAAGTAAAGAAGATGGGTTGCCCAAAGAAGTTTGATAAATTACATATCTAAAGATACACCAGTATTCTCAAGGGACAAAGCTTTCATATAATAGATGAATTGGTATGAAGTTCTCATTATTTGTGCCTGAGAGAAATTAGAGGCGCAGATCTCATGCTCTTATTGGCAGAAGGAGCCCCACTTATTGGCAGAATGTCTTATTGGCAGAATGACGGCCCCACTTCTGTCATTTTTGTAGATGAAGAAACTGAGTCTTCTGAAAACCACTTCATTGCCACCGTTCACCTAACAATCCAAGATTTTTGTCTGTGGAAGCACAAAAATTCTTCATGACAAGGCAAAACAATACTACTGAATTGTTCTCTAACAAATTGTCTTTTACATTTACAACGTTGACCTCAGCTAAAGTTTCCAGTAATAATGTACAGTTGCTTTCCATTTTGTCAAAACAAATGAACATTTCTTACATTTCCAATCAATAGCAGCATGTTTGAAAGTTGAACGAAACACTCCCAGTCTCCGTTTTATTGTGAATTTTTTTCGTGGTGGTCAATTGTTTTTAAGAAATTGCTAAATTATTTCTAACTGTTTTCACTATATTATTCACTATTCATATTATTTTACTATTGGTAATGGTAAGGTACTATTGTAATGGTAAGGTATTATCTCCCAAATGGCTCACTCTAAAACTAGTAATTACCAGTGTCCCTTTAATTCTTTAAACACTGAGAATAACCATTATATATGAACAGGAAAGCCTACCACGTATCTAATTACAGATATTTACTGATACCCATAAAAATCATTGTTCTTTGATTTACCAAGTTAAATGGTAAGCGGTTTAATAAACGTGTCTAATTCCTGTTACTAGTATAGCAGCCAAACAAAGCATTCATTTCTAGGAGGAGGAAATACATTCCTTAAGCCCATTTAGATCTAATCTTGCTTCACCTTATTTTCACATTATCTCCCTCACACTGTGGTCCATTCAGGCCACACTACACTTTCAGATCCCAGGATATGCCAATTTCTTTCTGAGCATTTGCACATACCTTTTTCCTAACTACTTTCCCCTAGCTAACTCATCGACCTTTGGTTTCATCAAGCCATTGCTTCCTCTAAGATACTTTATCTAACATCCTCAAGACAACTAGGTGTCCTCTCTGTGTGTTCCTGTAGCACCTTGTCATCCTCTAAATTTAGACTTATCCCACTTTTTTGTAAATTCTTACTGCCTGACCCCACCACCACCATAAACTCCTTACTTAATCTCAGGGATTATTTTTGTCTCCCTTTGTATCTCCAATGTTTAGTAGGTAGTATATATTCAACAAAAATGTGCTGAATGAAGTAGAAAGTTGGTGCAGTATGAAACTGCCTTGAAGTCCTTCTAAAGACTTCTAGATTCATTGTTCAGGGTCAAGATCCTCCTGTATATTGTGAAAGGGGTTTCCTCTTTACGGAATTCAGTCGGAAGGAAGAACAGAGTGGAATTTAAGCTCCCAGGGGAAATGGAGGGAGATCATTGTCTATGGGAGGGGAAGCAAAGTAGCAGGAGCCTCCTCAAATGTAAAGGAGTAATGACTCCACACTCTCCTTTTTTGTTCCACTTTTGAAGGCTGGCTTTTTGTCAAGGTGGTGTAGGGATAAGACCTACCTGCCTGCCACACTGGCATGAATATCCAACTTTTAGAAATGTCTAAGAGTTAAAGAACTTTCAGTACATCTCACCTTAATGTTGATTAAATTAGATACATATACTGGATGTAGGGTGGGTTAAAAGTAAGATATAGGTAACTTGAAACATGTTATCCACAGGGAGGGCAGCAATAGGTACAGGTTAGGGGAAGGGCAACTGCAAAGAAAACTGGGCACCTACAAATAAGGGAGGCCCAATGCCAAGAAGCAACAGAGAAGCAGAAAAGACAGAACTTCAGATCCCTTTTAGCTCTGGTCAGCAAGCTTAGGAGTGAAGAGCATATCAACCTGGTGACTGTTTCTGAGGAGTCAAAGAAATACCAGTGTGTTGCTAAATATTATGGTGTATGTTTATGGGTGGAAAAGAATAGCAGGACTGGAGTTGGCAAAGAAAGGTTCAGAGAAGAAGTGGAACTTACACTGAACCTCAAAGGCCAATAGCATTTGGATAGGTTCAGAAGAAGATGTGGCAAGTCATGTAGGAAATATCCCAAGAACCAAAGGCTTAGTAGCAGGAATGAGCATGGGAAATACAGGAGATGGTTAAAAGGGAAGAAAGAAAGAAAAGTGGTTGGGGAGTTCAAGACTCATCTGGAAAAACTGAAGGAGATAAAGCTATCTTCTTCTATTTCCCTCCATAGTGTTCTTACATCTGACTCCCATACCTGCCTAATCTCTTGAAGGCCATTCCCAACTTTTAAACTACCATCAAAATCTAGTTTTCCATTCTTCTTCAAGTTGATATCAGAAATGTCTAGAATAGGAGTATTGAGGTTAATTTTGAACTGCAAAAATTGGGAATGAATAATGACACTTCATAGAGCAGTTAAAGATTAATAGCTTTTGAGTCAGATGACCTAGATTCAAATGTGGCACCAGAATTTCTTTGTTGTGTGACTATTCAGTGAAGTATTTACCTCATCTGATCCCTAGTTTCCTCATTGGCAAGGTGGGTATAAGATATACTTTGTAGAGTTGCTTTGATACATATGTGAGGCGACATATTTAAACTTCCTAGCACAGTGCGTGCCTCTTAGTAGGATTAATGGTTGTCTGCCTGTGCCCTGTTGAATAGACTATGTTTCTCTGTCTAAAGGATTTTATCTATGGTCATAACCTTGACAAACCTATTATGCTTTTAACTCCCAGATGTCTATGTCTCATGTAATCTACTCTGAATCTTCAAGTCTGAAATTTCTGAAGCATCTTGGATATCTTCTCATTGTTATCTTGGTTTTTGCCAATTCACTGTGAATACAGCCTGGATTCATTTTGCCCTCGAAACGTCTTCTTTGTTTTTCGTAGTTCATGTAACTGATTTACTGAACAAGCTGAACTATATAGGGAAGAAATTAAAGCAAACATTTTTAATTCTCGATAATTTTTCTGTGAATGTATTTTTCTCCTCTAAATTAAATGCTTATTAATTTAGCTTATCTGATCATTCTCAGGTAATAAAAAGTCTGGTACTACGTGTTATCAAAACTCCAGACACACATCCAATTAAAGCCTCACCTAACTACAGGCAACCCTAAATGATTTATTGTTGCTTTCTTGCTCCAGCTCTTCTCCTAACTAAGAGCTTTTAACTTACCCTATAATATTTAGCAACGCACTGGTATTTCTTTGACTCCTCAGAAACAGTCACCAGGTTGATATGCTCTTCACTCCTAAGCTTGCTGACCAGAGATAAAGGGATCTGAAGTTCTGTCTTTTCTGCTTCCCTGCTGTTTCTTAGTTAGGGGCTTTAAAATTGGAGGGTGGGTAAGGAGTAAGGAAAGGAAAGAGCCTCCCTGTTGTTCCTGTATGAGCACAGATGTGCAAACCTACCCCCAAAGGCTGAGGGAGCTGAGAGGCCAAAGAAAAGCTGACAAATCCAGTTTCTTAGAAAGAGATATTTAATAGGGACGTGCAAACAGAAATGATGATTCTGTTAAAGTGGATCCCCACATCTGCCCTCCAGAAAATATGTAAGGTTTTAGGATAAAACATGTACAGCTGATCTTATCTCAGACTTTCTTGCAAAACTCATGAATACTAGGGAGTCTAGATAAGAATCTTACCGAGGTAATTATCTATGCTACATGCTTTGTTTCTTTTGAAGGGTTATCTATGCTATGGGCATTGTTTAAGAACCTTGCTGCAGAATACCTTAGTAGACAGGAATCAAACATCAGTCATCATGGCCGTGGTGTCACTCTTGCTATACCACAGGCTGTCTTCCTGTATCTATGAATCAGTGGTGTGGTACAACTGTGAATCTGTGAGAGCTGATTGTTAAAATCTTAGGATTTGTGTGAGTTGATTGTTAGCACAGCTATTGTTAAACACTAAACTGTATAAACATAATCACATAAATTATATTAAGACAAGGGTAATAAGTATTCAAAACTCATTATTTCCTAACTCTTTTGCTATTATCTCTACTCTTGAGGTTATTTACATCTATTGTATCTATAGGTAAAAATATAATGGTGGGCTGCTGCACATTTCTTCCTACTGCCTCATTCAGTGATGTCATGTTGATAGCTTGAAATTGGCCATAATGGGAGTATTTACACCATGGAAAATGGCAGATTATACAAATCAGAGTTTGATTTATTTTATTGTTGGTTTTTTAGACTTAAAAAAGTGGTGGACAATAGCAGTGACATGGAATCAACCCAAATGCCCATCAATGATAGATGGGATAAGGACAATGTGGTACATATATACCATGGAATAGTAAGCAGCCATAAAAAGGAATCAAATTATGTCCTTTGCAGGGACATGGATGGATCTGGAGGCCATTATCCTTAGAAAGCTAACACAGGAACAGAAAAACAAATACCGTATGTTCTCACTTATAAGTGGAAGCCAAATAATGAGAACAGCATGGACACATAGAGGAAAGCAACACACATGGGGCCTATCTGAGGGTGGAGGTGGAAGGAGGGAGAGGATCAGGAAAAATAATTAACGGATACTGGGCTTAATACCTGGGTGATGAAATAATCAGTACAACGAACTCCCATGACTCATATTTATCTATGTAACAAATCTTCACATAGATGGAGTCTCATTTTTAAAGACATAACATAGATGGAGACTCCTTTTTAAAAAGTGATGGAGAGAATATTAATAATGAAATTAAAAGTGTGTCGTGTCTGTTGTGGTA